ACTTGGTAAGTACAACTAGGCAAGTACTTACGTTCAGGACCGTTCAGGACCCTGTATACCACTTATGTCAGACCAATCCTGGAATATGCAGCTCCAGCTTGGAGTCCATACCTAGTTAAACACAAGACAAAGTTAGAAAAGATTCAGCGGTATGCCACCAGACTCGTCTCGGAAGTGAGAGGTATGAGCTACGAGGAAAGGCTAAAAGAGCAGAACCTCACGTCCCTAGAAAATAGAAGAGTAAGAGGAGACATGATAACCACCTACAAAATTCTCAGGGGAATATACAGGGTGGATAAAGACAAACCCTTTAGTGCTGGTGGAACACGAACAAGGGGACACAGGTAGAAACTTACTACCAAAATGAGCCACAGAGACATTATAAAGATTTTTTTTCAGTGACAGAGTAGTTTACAAATGGAATGCATTAAGTAATGATGTGGTGGAGGCAGACTCTATACACAGTTTCAAATGTAGATATGATAGAGCCCCGTAGGACCAGGAATCTGTACATCAGTTGATTGACAGTTGAGAGGCGGGACCAAAAAGGCAGAGCTCAACCCCCGCAAGCTCAACTAGGTGAGTACACACACACACACACATATTCAGACAAGCATGCCACAATGTAAATACACACGCAACTCAAGACAGACAGACAGACATAGTGTGCTACAAAGCATCAGATACAGACACACAGAGGCCGAAGAGACAAAGCCAGGAACAGTGACTGGCAATATGATACTGCGATGCAACATTGCAATCGAGACAAGTGATCTGTATGCCAATATCCAGCACTGCACATTTCTTCAAATTTTCTGTTTTTCTTTTATTCGATCCCTTCTCGCCCCCTCCCCCAGTCACCCCCTACTTTCCCCTCTCACATACACCTTCCCTACTTACCCTCTTTATCCCCCATTCAATCTTTCTCTCTCCCACTTGCCCTCTCTTTCTCGCCCTCCCCCCTCTCATTTATCCTCACCCTCCTTCTCCCACCCCCTCTTTCACTCACCCTTCACTATTTTTCTTTCCTTCCCCTTGTCAACGCTCCCTCTCTGTATCTCCCATTCCGTCCTTCATTCTGTCCCCCTCACTCGCAGCCCCCTCTCTTTCCATCCTATAACCTCTCATTCCCTGTCCTCACATCTTTCCCTCTCTGTTCCCTCGCCTTCCATCCCTTTTTTCCCACCCCACTTCCCTCCCATTCTTCCATACCTTACATCTCCCCCATTCCCCCACTCCTTACATGCACGTCAAAGGCAGCAGTTAGTCAAAGCCTCTCGTTTCTCTTTTTAATCTGACTTCTTGAGAGACATTTAGGCTTTACTGCTACAAGAGTCTGAGTTATGGCCAGAGAACAGCAATATTTGGAAAGGATAATGTATTTCATTTAAGATGGAAGAGGGTGCCCTTCAGCGTATTAGATTCTATCTTGAGTTTTACTCTTCCTCCCGCTGTCTCTCTCTCTCTCTCTCTCTCTCTCTCTCTCTCTCTCTCTCTCTCTCTCTCTCTCTCTCTCTCTCTCTCTCTCTCTCTCTCTCTCTCTCTCTCTCTCTCTCGGTCTCCCTCCCCCCCTCTCTCTCTCGGTCTTCCTCTCTTTCCCACTTCCTTATCTAATCTTAAAACTTGGAACTTTCAGCAATCGATTTTTTCTTCAAAATTTGGCTTTCATTGCATATGAAGAGCGCAATTGGTTAGTAAATTGTAAATTTAATGTATTTGGAAATTAGGTTTGCCTAATTTTTTCTTATGTGTGTTACTCCTACATGTGAGCGCTGTCATTTATTAGCTTAAACGTTGGTCGGTATAAAGTTCTTAAATGAGCAAGGAATTCACTTGTAGGTTCACTTGCAAGGAATTCACTTGTAGGTTCACTTGTAGATGAGAAAAGTATCTTTTTCACAAATTTGTCAATAACATCTAATTACTCATGTTAACAAATGTAATTCTTGTTAATCTGAACAAAATATGCTAATGTTATTTTGTTTGTACCTTCAGTTTTCAATTCAATGGCAGAAGGAGATTTAAGTAGAGAAGAGAAAGAAGTAGCAAATAATTATATTTTTGATGAGCATGCTTGTGAAAGCCTTATCCTCTGCGCGTAAACACGGTTGCAGGATGCAATACTCCTTGTTGACGATGAGTCAACAAGGAGTATTGCACAGCCACAATAATGTGGCTGAAGATATGATGACCAAACCACACACCAGAAGATGAGGAGACGACGACGTTTCGGTCCGTCCTGGACCATTATCATTATCACTATCGACTTGATTATGCTCCAGGACGGTCCGAAACGTCATCGTCTCCTCATCTTCTGGTGTCTGGATTTGTCATCAATATGCCTTGTTCAACATCGAGTAAAATCATCCCTCGACACTGAAGATTTTCCGAAGTGTCTAACAATAACAGAGGCTACAAAATAGTGCTAAGACGTTATGGTAGTTTCAGTTTTAACCCCCCCCCCCAAAAAAAGAGCTTTCTCAAGGAAGCTGTTGAGGTTCCTGTCAATAGATGCAAATGTTCGACGGTAACAACACGTATCTTGTCCTCAGTCATTACAATGGGTTCTCGACGAAGCTGTTCAGCAACTTGTCAGAAGCTGTCAAGTGGCTTGACGAGGAAAACAACTTATCAGTCATGGAGGACTCCTCAACAAGCTCACACTCATCACTTAAGAGGGACAATTAACTAAGAGTTTACTCACTGAGGGATGCACTTCCATCGTAGATTTAGATGAACTTGTGTGCTAGTCACATGTAGTTACGAACATCTAGGGGTGGTGTTATATAACGTGTTACAGGTCCCGTGTGCGTGAGTTCTCGTATGAACGTGTGTATCTGTCTAACATTGTACATGTATAACCCAATACTTTTATAAGCATATGCATCAAATGTGTACATGTATTTATTTTTAAGAGCGTGCACGTTCGTGTTAATGTAAAAAAAAAATGTAGATGTGTGTGTGTGTGTATGTGCATATGTCAATTTCTTTAAGAATCTAGAATTTCTAGTAAAATTCATATCTAAAATTAGTAATTTCTTATATTATTTATACAATATCATTATTCGGGAATTAGAATTCAATTATCATTATTGTATGTTTTTCTGTATTTTTCATATTAGTTTTTCCAGTTTATTTACCATTATCATTGCGTTTTTCATATTAGTTTTTTCCAGTTTATTTACCATTTTCATTGCGTTTATTTGCAGCTGTAATTGTTCATGATATCATTTGGCCAAAAATTCAAATTTCATGAATATATTAAATTTTTATTAAAATAGTTTTACATAATTGTTATGACCTTTATTGGCAGTTTTTCCCAACGAGTCTTTCTACGTTAAAAGAAATATTTAATATTTGCATTAGTAATAGTCTCCTTCATCTAATTTTCAAATGATTGGGGGGGGGTTATATTTTGTATAAGGAAGGCAGTTAGCTAAGTTAGGGTGATTGACTCACCTTCCATTAATGAACTCATAAACTCTCACATTCACATAAAACTTCTCTCGTCGTCCCTCTACTCTCCCTCTCTAACCTCATTTCATCTCTTCCTTTACATCCTCGTTAACTTCATCTCATCACATCCTCATAAATCTCATCTCACCTCTCCTCACGTCTTCACAAATTGATCTCACATTCTTATAAACCTCATCTCATATCTTCATAACCTCACATCCCCTCATAAACCTCACCTCATGTCAGAAAAACACAATCTGAGCACTTGACGATATATTTTCCAGTATAGTGTCATACAAAACAGGGACAAGGACATCCTAGTATAACATTTGATGCTATGATAACACTTTGAACATAAAAATAAATTGGAACATCTAGAAAGAGTTTCTTTTTTTGTTTTCTTTATACTTTGTTGGTCTCTAGCTGTTGTTGGTCTCTAGCTGTCACATGTCGTGTCAATAAAGACGGGAGAGTGGGACATAAAAGTGGGTTGATGAGCGTTCGTACGTGACTTGCTCGTTTCTGCCAGACGCCAGACATCGCCATATCCATCCTGCATGCCGCACTTTGTCCAACTTTGGAGACTAAGCAAAGTCGAATCTGAAGGATCCAGCCGTGTCTAAGTTGTGGGATTGAACCACATGGGGGATTGAGGAGTGTTCAACCTAGGATATTTACCCATATCACATCTGGAACATTAGGCCATGTACTTCCTAGGAAACGGAACCAAGCCCATCATGTGATATTAAACCAAATTTTGCCTGGGATATGAGCAGTGAGCCAACTCACAGATGCTAATGAATGTTGTATTTGAGGCCTTGTTCTGAAAATATATATGCAAGAGCGGCAGAATTTGCAATAGATCCTATAAAATAATAAACTATTATATGTCAGGAAATATTCAAATTTTCGCTGTATTTTTTGTCTATATCATTTGCAGTTTGATTTTAGAACTAGGGAACGTAAGCCAAGTACAAAGTTTCATTAAAAATAACTTAATACAAAATACATCATTAAGTCAAATTGAAATTTTAATAATTTACGAGGAGCATAATCGACTATCGTGCGTTACGTTCCCTAGAAAAATTTGAAAAAAAAAAATCAAGACTTTCTTGAATTTTTAATCAAATATTTAATTTCAGAGACCTGGATCTGATAATGATATTCAGACATCATCATGTAAATAAGAGCTAATAACATAATTAAGTTTCCAGATCAGGACATAATTTGACCAGGTTGCGTTCTCAAAACACCTTTCATTTCCCCTGGTTAATTAATACTGACCGATCTGAGCTGTTTGATCAGTCCAATGATAAAACATTGTAAATGTTTCATCATCCTAATTCATATATTCTTTCGTTGTTCATTTTAATCTGTCAACATTAAAACGGGTCAAACCTGATATTTCTCTCATTTCCTGCCCAATATCTCTCACATTAAGTTTTAGAATACAATGACAAAATCCCAGAATTGGGGACCAAATATATATATATATATATATATATATATATATATATATATATATATATATATATATATATATATATATATATACTGTAGAATGCTAGTTTTCAGCATTAATATATGGGAAAGCAAGCACCATAAGTAAATGATGAATATCCCGATGGTTTCTGGTGAAGATCCTAGGTGAAACTGGTGAACATCCCCGGTGGTTTCTGTTCAATATCCTTAAGTTGGAAGCAGCGGAGTACTTGACAGGAGGCAGGGGTACCCGACAGATGGCAGGGTGCTCTATAAATGAAATAGTACCTGAAGCACACGCTTGGTGTTATGCTTTTTTTCTGATAGGCGTTCTTGGAGAAACATTTGTAACGGGACGCTCGTAGAGAGACGCTCATTGCGAAAAAATCTCGATGGAAATGTTGTGGAGGGAAGGGGAGGGTGACACACTATTTTCATAACAAATATAATTTTTACGTTTGATTCAACCAAACATTTATATATCGCCTCCATCAATATAATCCTTTTATTATCATTAAACTCTGAAATATAAACAGTCTGGAGACACGCAATACAAACGGGGCCATGAAGAACAAAAGTTGTGCAGTCTAGGGTCTGTTTCGGTCCGTTCTCCAGTGTTCTGCTAGTCTCGAACTATAACAGCATAACATTACCATAAGTCATAACTTCCCTTTGTACATATTGTCATCTCTTTGTTCACTCATTCAGCCCTCGAACGCGGGTTTTAACACTGTAGTGCCTTCCTTTTCACAGGAAGTTAGTTTATGGTTACAACGACTGGCTTTCAGTGATAAATTACTGTTCTGTGATGTACTGTCGACAGTTCAAGCTGGATTTTGGTAAAAACTCTTATACTAAACACTATAAATCTCAGCTCATTCCAGTATTTCACACTTTTAAGACAATAGGAACTCCTTTTTTGTGTAAAAAAGGTATTATACAGCGTATGAATACAACAAATTTCCCATTAATACACCTTTAAATGTACACTCCACACTTTTGTCATGACGAGCAACACAGGTAAACATCAACACTGTATATAACCCGTGTTCACGGATATTGTCGTGCCCGTTGTGACGAGATGGGTTGTACTCGTGCGAAAGAGCATTGCTGTTCCTCTGCCGGTAAAGAGCAGCTGCAGCGAACTCGGAAGAACCTAAATACTCATGATTAACAAGCCATTGACTACAGATCAAGTGAACATCAATAAGAGAGAGTATTTATGTCAGTGTCACTGGGTCATTGAACTCCAAATGTGTAGTGGAGTCATTCCAAACGAGGTCAATGTTTCACTGAATACTAAAAAAAAGGAGTATCTGTTTTTCTCTCAAAGTAAGCGTCACCGATGTTTTCAATATGTCCACGATGTCGCACTCAAAATGCACATTATCAGAAAGACCTCACACCATTCGAATATAAAAGTGTGGCTATTTTTATTTTGTTTCCGCAAACAGTTTTATTATGTATAAATTTCGTGTTTATATACAACTGTATATATATTTTTTCCATCGTAGTATATGAAAGTATACGGACTATGTGGCACTAAGCACTACACTGGTGCCAAGATCCTTAAACCGAGGCTTATCACATCGGCACGTTGATAGAAGCCTCAACAAGGAGGCTTCGGGCAGATTGCCGGCGCTCTACAAGCTACGCTGGAAGACCCTGGGGAACGTGAGGGCGTCGAGGAGGAGGAGGGCCAGCAAGAATAGTGCCAGTGTCTGAGGTAGGACGCGAGGGCCAGCCGAAGAGGCACTCTTAACCCCGAGTTGCCGCACTGGCGTTTTCTCCGCCTCCCCGACCTCCTTCTGACCACGGCGACTTAGCCCAGGATCCGTCGTCTCTGTACGGGAAAAAGTAATTAAATTAGGTTAAGGTTGAACAAAATAGTTTTGGCAAACATGTATTGAAAGAGAAAGAGGGAGGGAGGGAGGGATGGAGGTTATGGAATAGCCAGAACGTGAGCGTGAATTTTTAGGGGGGGATGGAAATTCCTGTGGGTAACTTAGAGGAGACATGAGAGTGCCCCTTGACGCTCAGGTGACGTGGATGGGAAGATAAGACACCACGTAAAGGCGTCCTGCTAATTCTTGGGAAGGATTTAATTATCCGCGTCTCTCTGGGGAAAAGGATGAGTGGAAAATAAAATAAGTGGTAAAATGAAGCAGACGAGAAAGTGTATGTGAAGAAAGTGGTTGAGAGAAAAACAATAATTTTCACATATTGAGTATGAAGATTATTAAAGCTAACTGACCACAAAACTGACCATGACCCTGACCATCAACCTGACCTTGACTTGAATCGATAAATTCAGGGGGGCTATAATTTATTGACGCTACGCAATATATCATTTATCACCCTCGCACCCCACTGCTACATAACCTACATATCCAGCACATCTCATTTATCGTCAAGATCACACACACACACACAAACTCACAAGTACACTATCTAGGAGGTGGGGTCCTGGAGCTAAGTTTCGCTCCTTTTACACGTATTTAGGTAAGCACACTGCCCCGTATCTCACTCACTGTATAATATAAGCTGTGTGCTGCTCACAAACCCAGTACCTTACATATACCACATGTTCCACACGTCTCATATTCCACACACCTCACATCCTTCCATACCTCATATGCCCCCCCTCACACAGATTATCCCAGAATCTGCATATTCATTACATTTACCCTGACCCATAATCTGACCCTGACCCCTGACTTACCAACCACGACGTGCACGAGGACGGAGGAGGGGCTGGCGTTGGCAGGGCTGCAGGTGTAGTTCCCAGCGTGTTCATCTAACACCGACGACACCGTCAGGATGCTGCGAGGAATAACACCAGGGCAGTTATAGCAAGTCATGGATACCTTGGTATATTATGTGTACTATAAGGTGTATCAGAACTGCTGAGGATGTTTTACAAGTTGGGGTTTACTAGGAGTGTTAGGGTGAGTTTTGGGTGTTAATGTGTATCTGAGATGCCAGGTATATTGAGGAATCTATGGTGTATACCGTAGGTTCCTCAATACACCTGACACCGCGTATACACCCTATATTAGAGTGTATACTTGGTGTTTGGATTCATCAGTGATGCTAGGGTGTGATATGTTAATTTGTGAAAATTGTGTTTGAATCCCTAGAAATTTCCTGTGGGTAACAATTTCAGGCTTGGATGAAACTGATAGTATGATTCATAAAGGGTGTTAGGGGGAGAAACTTTAAGGATTTTTTGATGCTATATTTAGCCTTCTTCATGTTAGGGTGTAGCACGGTGTTAGGACTTTAATAGATGTATGTGTGTGCTAAAGTTGGCTCTGATATGCTGGAATGATTGATTAGAGTCTTGGATTTTGGTTATAGAGACTTGAAGAGGGTTACTAACGCGCATAATTAGGGTGGCTAATCATGGGATTAGCCTGGATGTGAGATGAGGATTTGGATGCAATGATGGTAGGTCTTTTTAATATTGGAAGTATTTTGAGGGCACAACTGCTCAACACACACACACACACACGCACACACACACACACACACACACACACACACACACACACACACACACACACACACACACACACACACACACACACACACACACACGGTGTGTGTAAATTTCAATTTGAACAGAATTTGTTACAACTATTTCGTTTTCTTATTTACATTTTTTTTCATTTAAATCATTAAAATAAAAAATACTATAAAATACAATTCGTTTCAATACTCACTAACGGTTAATGTTACTGTTTCCAATGAGCTTATCTGACACTGGATTCAATTATTTCGTCAAAACATTTGTATCAGAATTAGGTTGTATGTGGTGATGTGATGAGCTGATGAAAGTGTTGCTGCTATTAGAAAAACACTGGTGGAGGGCGTCAGCGAAGCTCTTAGAACAACACTGTCTAGTATAAGGCGTCGGTGTTACATTTAGATGTAACACTTTCTAGCAGAAAGCGTCGATATTTATGTTTCAAGGAACAATATTAAGTAGAAGATGATGCGGTTAAAATAACACTATCTAGAAGGCGACGTTTGCATTTATTTAAATCTGATTTATTAAAATTAAAGTAAGTAAACATTATATTTCATTAAGTTACGAACGATTGTCGTATAGCTTAAGAAATATATATTTTTCTCGTTGTTTGCAGACGAACGCATGGTAAAGATTTTATATTATTTTGAAACTCAGCATTTCGATCTCATTACTGCACGCGGGCCGGTGGTTCTGAAAGAATGGCCCAGATAAGAATAATATTTAGGATCTTAAAAGCCTCAAGAAAAGATGCGAAAGGAATATTTGCTCAGAGAAATAGTTAAGCTTCAAGATCGACTAACATTTTATGGTCCATGGACCGACTTTATACTTCTTATCGGTACAAATATGTCCAGTTTATACGATCAACGTTTTTTGGTTAATTTTGCTCTCAAGACAATCGAAAGCTATGCAATGATTTCCCTTGCAACATAATTTTTTAAAACCTAAAAATAAAAATTCTTCCGTACAGAAATTGCCATCGTCCACCCAAACAAAAACACTGTATTGCAGGCTGTCATGGCAACAAGCTTGTGCACAAGGGTTAACAACTGGACCAGGTCCTGTTTACGTTTTGTAGTTTTCGGAAAGTGCGTGCAGCGCTTTGGGAATCGCCAGAGCATATGCAAAATGGGCATCGTAACGCAAGTGAATGAGAGGTAAGTGTCACTTGGAAGGCGGCACTGTGCGTGGAGTACCCTACCTAAATTCGCTGTTTCCCTGCTTTGTTCATACTCTCTCTTGTTTCAATTTCAACTTGCGGAGCATTGCTTTTGGGATTTTCTCTTATTTTTCTTTTTTTTAGTTTTTTTAGTCTGTCTTGTATGTTTATCCTTTGTTAAACCTCAATTTCTCCTTACTCAGCCCACACACGAACATCAACAACTCTTACCTGTGCTCCTGGTCGGAGTTGATATGGACGCCCCTGGCAGTGTCGTAGTTGATCATCCTAGAGTCTTGGTACCAGAAAACATAGGGAGGTGTGTTTGAAGCATCTTTGAAAGTACACACAAGCTGTAAGCTGCTCCCCGCTGCCACCATACGCTCTGCAGAACCTTGCATTTCGCTTCGGGCCGCTGTACATCAAAGATCATACATAAGATTTGTGGTTCATATTTATTATATAAAATTCATAAATTTCAACAACTGTATTACGTCCTGAGAGGCAGTGAATATATGCAGTATACTCACTACCCTGTGTGTCAGTGAGTATGAGCAGCATACTCACTACAACCAGATCTGATTGAACCACTCCAATTAAGCAAAATTGCATAATGCTTGTGTCATTAAAGATGTTAATAACAGTAATGCAGATCATGGGGTGATGAGCAATCAGGATTCGTACACTACATGCATTTCGTTCGTCGACGGCAAGGATATGGTAGAAGAACAAAGAAACATTTACACACATACTGAGCTGGTCTCCGAATAATTATCTGCCAGTGGATTTTTTCTTAAACTTTGTAAGAACTAAGTTAATATTTGTCTTAAGGAATTAGCAATTAAGGCGGTGAAAAATATATAAACACAGAGTTTATGTTAATTTTTATATCATTCACATGAAGACATTTCGATGTTAAGGTGTTGTGCAAATTCTGTTAGAAAGCTCACTTACAAAACAATGCTTATATGAAAAGCTTAAGCAAGGGTGAAACTGGCCGTCATGAAGAGTTAATTAATAATTACAAACAATCATACTAGAGTTTAAATTTTAAAATATTAAATGTATTACTATTGGGAGGAAAACTGGTCTCCACATAAGAAAGCTTCAAATCATAGGTGATTCAAATTACAGGGAAATAGACTTGGAGGAAAAATGAAACGTGGAGGTCCCAGTACACGGATAACAAGAATTCTAGACACCATTCAAGACGAAATTCTAGCAAAGCGGATAGGATAGACCTGCTTGAATAGACCTCGCCTTCACCCAAGATGTAATAACATTTAGAAAACAGACCTGAAATACCCCTAGGAGCCAATGACCTCGGCGTCCTGGTGTGTCAGGTTCCGCTTGAGGTGTGTGGTGGTGTGTGACCGCTTGAGTGTCAGGTTCAAATAAATATAAGAGCAAGAGGCCAGAGAGACGAGGATAAAAGCCAAGCCCTCAAGAAAGGGAAGTGTGAAGAGATAAGGGAATTTTTGAAAGTCGTACTGTGGTAGACAGGTCTCTGGAACATGTTAACGTAGACAGGCCTCAGAAACATGTGTACGTGTAATACGTGATGGACCATGTGATGCACAAATGCTCTGAAACTGATGATATATTCATTCCAACACTAAAGAAGGGAGAGGAGCTTGCATAAATGATTTACCAACGCCATGAGGCATGAAAGAAAAACAGAATAGCAGGACACAAGAGATGATCAAAAACAGTTACAGCAGATACAAACACAAATGTGGAAGAATTCGGAAATATAGAAGAGTACAATACGAGAATGATAAAGCATCCATTGAAGGACAACACTGCTACAGTCACATCAGGAGAAAAATGTATACAAACGGCCTGGTAATTATATAGGAGACAAGGGAAACTAGCGGATCGTTTGGTGCACCGTACTTTACCCATGGTATATACCCCCCCCCCACGGCATACCGTACCTCCTTCTACATGGCATACCGTATCTCCCTCCCCATGGCGTACCTTCCCATAGTGTACCATACCTTCCCACGGCGTACCATACCTCCCTCATGGGACCGCAGCACTTAAAACTTTTATTAAAATTATAAATGGTCTCAATTTTCAGTGATTTTTTTGTTTGTGGTTCGGTCACTGATCGCTTTAAATAGCGGCGAGAGGGTGAGGAAGTGAACAATATAAATGGAAGAGAATATTCAATTATAAATGTGTTAAGTATGTGTAATGAAGAGGGTGAGAGAGGGAGTCAGAGGCAGAATGAGAGAGAGAGAGAGAGAGAGAGAGAGAGAGAGAGATGAAAGCGAAGGACAACAAAACAATATTTGTTTTTCTTTTTTCCTTGGGGTTGGGAGAGAAGAGGAAGATAGACTTCAGCAAGTCGAAAGGTTGCTCTCTCCATTTGAGTCTGGCGAGCGAAGGTGGGAGAGAGAAAAACCGAGAAGCACACACAAACATCGGTAATAAAAGTGATGAATGAGGACGAAATAAAAGCTTAGTAAATACAAGAGGGCAAACAATTCCAGCTGACGAGTCACTGTTGCAGTGATGACAGGAGCTGAATGATTGTTATCACTGTAAACAAGAAATGAATACAGCCATTCCCGTGTTTATTGGTCGGGCAATTTTCTTAATGTAAATTTGATCCGAATATATATAAAAAATATTAGAGCAGCGAATTAGATACCGACGGAACATTTACGTGGAATTTTTTAAGTGTTTCGAGCATTGGGCAGACAATCTATTTACACCAATATGTACACCAGTTGATTGACAACTGAGAGGCGGGACCAAAGAGTCAAGGCTCAACCCACGCAATACAACTAGGTGAGACATCTTTATAAAAGAGTTTCAAGGGCTATAAATCCGAGCTGCCTCATATCGACTAATACTCCAATAAATTCCTGTATTCTTATGTAATCACTGAGAAGTGTGAGCCAAATAATGGAAAAATATTGTTACAGAAGAATTGGTATCGTTCAATAATAGCAGCACTACGGGCAGCTGTTGAAGCAGTCGTAATACCAGCAATACTCATCCCATTATTTGTTGGAATTACTGAAGCAGTAGGAAATTCTATGAAAAATATTAGACGTGTTCTCAGTGTGTATATATATCTTTAAATACGTTTAGATATGTTTAGGTTTGGGTTAGGTTAGGTTGTTAGGTCAGCTGTGGTATGATGAGGGTAAGTTCGGTATGGTTGGTTTGACTAATCTTTCTTTGATTACGTTAGGTTCAACCAGGTTAAAAGTATACAGAAAGTTTATATTTTATGCGGCCCCTGCATCAGATGTTCCGTTAAATATTGTATTCAGTTGATTCAAATGTGTTATATTGCATCTAATTCAACAGCCATCCTATATGAAAAACAGTGTGTCTAGTAGTGAACAACCTGGTGAAATAAATTACTTAAACTGGTTTACCAAAGCTTCCCAAATATTTTCTGCCATTTTCACTACTGGGTGACATTTCCAACATATCCGTATCAATAGCACAGAGGATCAGTTGACCTTACTCAGCTTGGAAATATTCAATACCTTCGCGGCAAATAAACCTACTGCTGACGGTGTTTGTACTTTCAAACTGGCGTTTGTGTGTGTGTGTGTATTCACCTAGTTGTGCTTGCGGGGATTGAGCTCTGCTCTTTCGGCCCGCTTCTCAACTGTCAATCAACGATCATTTTTTTGTCACCCTTCTCCCCCCCCCCCCACACACACACCCCAGGAAGCAGCTTTAACAGCTGTCTGACTCCCAGGTACCTATTTACTGCTAGGTAACAGGTGCATCAGGCCGAAAGAAACTCTGCCCATTTGTCCGCCATCGCCGGGGATCGAACCCCGGTCCACAGGATTACGATTTCTGAGTGCTGTCCACTCAGCAACCAGGCGTCCTGGTGAGTGTACTCGCCTAATTGTGCTTGCGGGGGTTGAGCTCTGGCTCTTTGGTCCCGCCTCTCAACCGTTAATCAAAAGGTGTACAGGATCCTAAGCCTATTGGGCTCTATCATATCTACACTTGAAACTGTGTATGGAGTCAGCCTCCACCACATCACTTCCTAATGCATTCCATTTGTCAACCACTTTGACACTAAAAAAGTTCTTTCTAATATCTCTGTGGTTCATTTGGGCACTCAGTTTCCACCTGTGTCCCCTTGTGCGTGTGCCCCTTGTGTTAAATAGCCTGTCTTTATCTACCCTATCAATTTCCTTCAGAATCTTTAATGTGATGATCATGTCCCCCCTAATTCTTCTGTCTTCCATCGAAGTGAGGTTTAATTACGTAGCCTCTCCTCGTAGCTCATACCTCTCAGCTCGGGTACTAGTCTGGTGGCAAACCTTTAAATCTTTTCCAGTTTGGTCTTATCCTTGACTAGATATGGACTCCATGCTGGGACTGCATACTCCAGGATTGGCCTGACATATGTGGTATACAAAGTTCTGAATAATTCCTTACATACGTTTCTGCATGCCGTTCTTATGTTGGCCAGCCTGGCATATGCCGCTGATGTTATCCTCTTGATATGGGCTGCAGGGGACAGGTCTGGCGTGATGTCAACCCCCAAGTCTTTTTCTCTCTCTCTCTGACTCTTGAAGAATTTCATCTCCCAGATGATACCTAGTATCTGGGCTCCTGCTCCCTACGCCTATCTTCATTACATTACATTTGCTTGGGTTAAACTTTAACAACCATTTGGTCGACCATTCCTTCGGCTCGTCTAGGTCTTCTTGAAGCCTCAAGCAGTCCGCCTCTGTCTTAATCCTTCTCATAATTTTGGCATCGTCAGCAAACATTGAGAGAAATGAATTTATACTCTCCGGGAGATCATTTACATATATCAGAAACAAGATAGGACCGAGTACAGAGCCCTGTGGGATTCCACTGGTGTCTTCACGCCAATCTGAGGTCTCACCCCTCACCGTAACTCTCTGCTTCCTATTGCTTAGGTACTCCCTTATCCACTGGAGCACCTTACCAGCTACATATGCCTGTCTCTCCAGCTTATGTACCAGCCTCTTATGCGGTACTGTGTCAAAGGCTTTCCGACAATCCAAGAAAATGCAGTCCGCCCAGTCAGTGTGTGTGTGTGTAGATGTGCGTACGTGTGTTTGTGCGGGTGCGTGCACGTGCGTGCATACGTGACCCTCTTGCACATTCACGTGTCCTTTTCAGTTGCATTAAAAGACATACAGCTTTCAGGCTAACTTCATCCACACTGTCTAGCAAACTTATTTACGAACCAACACTCCAAATCCATTTACACATGGGTTGAAAACCGTGTGTGTGTGTGTATGTACATGGGGTTCCACAATGGGTACACAGCATCGTGCCATCTGTACTCGCAGCAGTGTGCACATAAATATTACTTGTGCAAGCTCTAAAGGCCAAGGCAAACCTGTTAATCTGGCAGAGCACACATGGTCGCCGCCAGCTGCCGGGAGA